CCCCCCCGCCCCGCGGGGGGGGGAGGGGGCGGGGCGACGGATGAGGCGCCGTGCACCCCCACGTGACTTCCTCCCTCCCCCACCCCGTTCGCCAGCGCTCCTCTCCGCCCCGCCTCCCTCCTAGGTGAAGGAAGATGATTTCCCCCCCCCATCTTGGCCGACCCCCGCCTTCACCGCCAAAAAAGGATTCCGCCGGTTCCCGCAGCCCGGTATCAGTGGTTGGATCCAAGGGAATTCCGGAACCCAAACGGTCCATTATCGCGGCTCTAGGGTGGGCGAGGGGTGAGGGGGCCGGGTTTCCGAGAAGGGGGAGGGGGGAAGGCGAAGGCCGCCGAAGAGAGTCACGTGTCTACTGTTTCCGCCGGCGTTCGTAAAGACCTCGCGAGAATTCCGTTTCCCCGCCCTTTCTCTCCCGCAGGCTGTCGGGAAGAAGGTCGGCGCTCTGTGGTACCTCAGTGCGGTCAGCCGGTGGGCCGTGCGCATGCGTCCCACACCTGCTTTCAGTGTGTGAGGAGGGGCCCGAAGGTATTTTCAGAACCCGTTTGGTAGGTGGCTACGACCGAGGAAGTTACCTGGTGGCGCTTCTGTCACTTAAAAAGGCTCTTCATTTCCGAGCCAATTCTAGAAAAATAAATTTGCATATTCGTTGCTTGTTAGTCTTACTCAAAGCACTTTAATGAGTTTGAAACCTCAAGTAACTCGGAGTCCCTCTGCTCGTTCACTGTTACTATCATGTTCTGAGGAGTGCGGTGAGCACAGTCCGCCCCACTCCTTTTCTCTCTACACACACCCGGTGACCTGAACACTATTGCTCCCAATTAGTGACTGCTGCAGAATAGGGCTGTCCCTACCACTTCTCGTTTCCCTATTTTCTCTTCTTCTTACTATTATTAAGTGACCTAACAGAATAAACATATCAGCTTCTTGTAACTCTTTTGTAAAATCATTTTGAAAATGCTGTTTGACTCCGTTGCTTAGGTAATAGGCACGCCTGGGTGATTCTTGCCCCCTACTGGCTGCGCGTCCCACTCCTTGTGCTGAAAGCAAACCAAGTATTTGGAACAGTTGGTTAAACTATGAACTCTTAGGGGCCGGCCCGTGACTCACTCGGGAGAGTGCGGTGCTAGTAACACCAAGGCCCCGGGTTCGGATCCCATATAGGGATGGCCGGTTCGATCACTGGCTGAGCGTGGTGCTGACAACACCAAGACAAGGGTTAAGATCCCCTTACCGGTCATCTTTTTTAAAAAAAAACAAAAAAACAACTATGAACTCTTAAAGAGAAAGTATGCGGGGAAAAAAGGGGGAAAACTAGACAGAGCAATTATAATTGTAATCTTCCAATTTAACGTTTGTATACATAAGTATTATATGCGTATATACATATATAAAAACATTTTAGACTGCCTACTAATCACTTAGCTAATCACTTTACTTCCATTGTTTTATTTAATCCTCACACGCACACCCCAAAAAACTTACAAAGACAAAATAATAAAAATATTTTCGTAGAAACAAAGGCCTCATCTGTCTTCTGCACTGCTATCAGCTATACTGGCGTATACTCTAGTGCAGATGACAGCAAACAAGCAATTACGAATCTGTCATTTTTTTTTTTTTTGAAGATGACCGGTAAGGGGATCTTAACCCTTGACTTGGTGTTGTCAGCACCACGCTCACCCAGTGAGCTAACCGGCCATCCCTATATGGGATCCGAACCCGGGGCCTTGGTGTTATCAGCACCGCACTCTCCCGAGTGAGCCACAGGCCGGCCCACGAATCTGTCATTTTTAAAAGAAAGAAAGGGGCCGGCCTGGTGGCGCACTGCGCTAGTGCGCCGCTTGGGAAGCGCGGCGGCGCTCCCGCTGAGGGTTCGGATCCCACATACAGACCGGTTCCCGCTCACTGGCTGAGCGAGGCGCGGGGGCAACACCGAGGGTTGCGATCCCGTTGCCAGTCCCGGTCCGGTACGGGGGCGACACTGAGGGTTGCGATCCGTTGCTGGACACGGAAAAAGACAAAAAATAAAATAAAATAAAATAAAAAATAAAATAAAATAAAATAAAGAAATATGAAAGAATACAGGGGCCGGCCCGTGGCTCACTTGGGAGAGTGTGCTGCTGATAACACCAAGGCCATGGGTTCGGATCCTATATAGGGATGGCCGGTTTGCTCACTGGTTGAGTGTGGTGCTGAAAACACCAAGACAAGGGTTAAGATCCCCTTACCGGTCATCTTTTTTTTTTTAAAAAAAAGGGTTAAGATCCCCTTACCGGTCATCTTTAAAAAATAAAAAGAAAGAAAAACAAATGGAAGTGGGGAGGGATGGTCTCTGCCCTTAAAATTTATGCCTTTACACTGTACTGGGCATTAATCCAAATTTCACATAAAATGTAAAATTGTCTCTGTGATAATGGTATAAAGTAGCTAACAGAGCCTGTCATAGAGGAATTTGACCTCATCAGGGAAGTCAAAGAAGGATTCCTTGAGGAAATGATGACTGAGCTGAAATTGGAAAAGTAGGTGCTAAGTAGGTAAAGAGAAGAGGGAAATGCATTTCAAGAAGAGCAAACAGCACATGCAAACGTCCTGAAACAGGGAAGCAAAGCAAGTGGAAAAGACTGTAAGAATGCAAAGGCATCGGATACTTTCTCTCACCTCTAAACCCAAGCTTCTATACTCTGCTTTGTGATGCATTCTAATGCATTTGTGCTTTGCCACCTGTTTCTGTGTTAAACTGCAATAAGGAGGGCTAGAGACTGCAAGACTGGAGGAGGAAAGTTTTCTGTGAATGTCATCCCAGCAACACTTGTTCACCCTGTCAGCTGCACTTCCCGCAGCAGCAGCTATATTGTTGCAGTTTTTCCCACACTTGCACAACTAGCCTCATCAAACCCTCCCCCAAGACACCAGCACCAACCAGAAGTCCCCCACCCCCACTCCCAGGGTCACCCTCTAAGCACCGAGACACTAGCACCAGCTGAGCAGAGCCCCTTCCTTGGAGTTTGGGTTTCAGCAACACGGAACCCCTCTTCTGTGTTTCTAAGTTTAAATTACACCAACCCTTTCCCTCTGTTCTCTCAGCCTTAGTGATGAGAGCTGTTTCCTACAGTTGCTACTTCTATGATGCCTTAAAGTTCTCTTTGTACTCTTTTAACAATGCTTTTTATTAAATTATCTCCATTAAATAACGTGTAGTTTCTGTCTTCTACCTGACCTTCGATTGATACAGAAAGTAAAAAGGAATTAAATAGGGGATAAGGTTGCAAAGGTAGATGAAGGCCATTCTCAAAGAGACTTTTGAGTTTGGACTTTATTCTGTAGGCTACAGGGAACTCAGAAACCTGTTACGCAGAGAACAGCCATAGTTGGATATGCATTCTAGAAGGATCACTCTGGAAGTGGTGTGGTAGATCTAAGAACTGGGCTGCAGATATGAAGACTAAACAGGTCTAGAGAAGATAAGAACCTGAACTGGAGCAAAACTGTTGAGTAATAAAAAGGATCCAGGTTTGAGAAATATTTAGGAGGTAAAGCCAGCAAGACATGGCAGCTGGTTAGATGGGGTGATGGAGAGGGAGATATCTAATACCTGGACAGATAATGGTGCCATTAGCCAAAACTATGGCATCAAAAAGAGAAACAGGTCTGAAGAGGAAGGTAATGAGTTTGTCTTTAGGTATGGGGAATGTTTCACTTATCTATTGCTGTATAACAAAATACCGCAAAATGTAATAGCTTAACACAACAACCATAATTCTCTCATAATTGTACAAGCAAGGCTGGGTTCAGCTGGGATGCTGGAACAAGTGGGTTTCTCTCTCTCCATGTTATCTCTCTACATGGCCCCTGGTCTCTCCAGCAGTCTCTTCATGGGTCTTGTTATGGCAACTCAGGGATCCCAAGAACATGAAAACAGAAGCTGCCAGGCTTTCTTAAACCTTAGGCTTTCAAGTGACACAGTGATGTTTCTACTATATTCCCTTTGTTAACAAAGCCAAATCAGACTCAAATAAAAGCAACACAAAGGTGTGACTAGTGGAAAGCATCCTTCATTGGGGGCCACGAAAGTAACATTGTATCATTGAATTTCAAAGGATCTGTTGGACATCCAAGTGGTGACGTCTAGCAAGCAGTTGGAATCTACCGCTTGGTGAACCAAATGGGGATTAACATGAGACAGGATAAAACTGTACTAGGAGAGGATGCAGAGAGAAGAGCAGGGTACCAGGGACAGAAACTTGAGGTTCCATGTGTAAAAGGTGAGCACCCAATGAGTCTGAGAAAGGTCAATCAGAGAGGTCAAAGTAGAATGAGAAGATTGTATCATGGAGGCCAAGGGAGTTTCAAGGAATGAGTGCTTAGCAATATGTAATGCGGCAGAAAGCACCAGAATGTGGCTGAAATATCTATTGGATTTTTCAAGATGGCAGACATTTTGGTAGACAGTAATATATACGTAATATATATTTTTCTTTTTTTGGCAGCTGGCTGGTAAGGGGATCCAAATCCTTGACCTTGGTTTACCAATATCATGCTCTAACCAAGCAAGCTAACTGGCCAGCCCAGCAATTGTTTTTTACTGCTCAGACTCTATTGCTTTCTTCAGATTGCAGCCTCTTAATTTTATCTCCCCTTCTCAAATTCCATGTGGTTTGGAGAGCACTAACCATCTCCCATATACATCACTCTAGAGTTCAGTGTGTAAGCAAAGTTTGGACAATTGAAATACTGGATCTATTGCCAGGCCACAGTGATTGATTTAATGCCAGGCCGTTGAGTCTCAATTCAAAGACTTTGTATTAAAAATATTATGAGGGCTGGCTGGTTAGCTCAGTTGGCTAGAATGCAGTGTTTATTTGTTTGTTTGTTTGTTTGTTTTTAAAAGATGACCGGTACAGGCCGGCCCGTGGCTCACTCAGGAGAGTACGGTGCTGATAACACCAAGGCCACGGGTTCGGATCCCTACATAGGCATGGCCGGTTAGCTCACTGAGCGCGGTGTGGGTGACACCACACCAAGGGTTGCAATCCCCTTACCAGTCACAAAAAAGACAAAAGAAAAAAAAGGCCGGCCCGTGGCTCACTCAGGAGAGTGTGGTGCTGATAACACCAGGGCCACGGGTTCAGATCCTGTATAGGGATGGCCGTTTGCTCACTGGCTGAGCGTGGTGCTGACAACACCAAGCCAAGGGTTGAGATCCCCTTACCGGTCATCTTTTTAAAAACAAACAAACAAACAAAAAAGCTATTTAATAGACAGGTTTTGGTCTCCTTCTGTATTACTCCATTTCTGTTGCTTCTAACAGAATACCTGAAACTTGTAATTTATAAAGAAACAAAATTTATTTGTTACAGTTTGGAGGCTGGAAGTCCAAAGTCCAGAGAACACATCTGGTGAGGGCCTTCCTCTTCATTGTGACTCTCTATAGTGATGCAGGGTGAAAATGGGCTGAGAAAAAGAGAGATAAACTTCTCACAAAAAAAAAAAAAAAAAAAAAAACTTCTCACTTGTCCTCCTTATAAAGGTATGAGAACCATGGTCGTGACAACCCATTAAATCATCAACCCATTACTCCATGAGTGGATCAATCCATTCATGTGGGCACAGTCTTCATAATCTAATCACCTCTTTATTTATTATTTATTTATTTATTTATTTT